GCATGCAGATCAATTGCTGTGCCGTTCTGTATGGAGATAACAGCGCCGCCAACCAGATTGCGACTGGCAGGGGGACGCGGCGCACGCGGGCCCTCTCGACCAAAGTTAACGCGATTCGTTCGCGTGTCGAGCGAGGTCTTTTGACTCTCCAGTTCGTCGCCACATCTTTTATGAAGGCCGACGGGCTGACGAAGTGCGGCGGAGTACCGCACGCGCAGCGCACCAGAGGCCATTTTGGCCTTCGCCCGCTGTGAGCCTCAGTGTTCGCAGGTTTTGCGGGCCTCTTGCGCCCCACACCGCGCCGGGCTTTGCCGGCGCGAGTGCGGAAGATCGCAGCTGCCCGCCGCGACTCCCGAGGAGGAGCGTGTGTGGGGGGTGTCTGTAAAGTATGCTGCACAGTAGTTTCGGCCACGTTCGCCGGACACGTTGTGAGGGGGGTCCGAAACCACAATCCCACTAAATGGGAAAGCAAGTTCGTAGTGTAAATATGTAGCGAGCGTGCGGTACAGATTTGAGCCTATTTCCGTGCAGCGTTGCCACTGTGTTGAGTCGGCTCAGGAGAGTAACGGTCTGGACGGGCCGAGTCTGCCGGGGAGGGAGAAACGTAACGAATTTCCCCCCTCCCGCTAGGTAGCAAAATAACTTTGCAATCGATATTCTATCGGCCACGCGGCCGGGACAGCAGCCGGCGTTAAAACTGTTAAATCAGTTTGTGATGTGTTGTGCGGTGCGTGAAGCATGGCATGGCGCAGTTTTGCGTGGCTCTTGCATGCGCGGGGAGAGTGGCAACACCAACCCCGCGCCAATTATATATGTGCACTGTTTGGCTCAAGGCTCGACGTCCGAGCGGAAAACCATGACAGAGGCGAGGAGCAACGAAGCGCGGCAACGCCGGTTGCTCCTCCGCCTCGCTATCACTTGCAACACCCTCCTTAGGCTTAGAATCAATTTGCCTCTTGATAGTTCCCTTCACAATCCTCTTCCCATATCTCCTGCCATAGCCCTGGAAATCCCACGTCTCAGAGCGCAGGGAGTGAGCATAGAACAGCTTGCGGAGGAATACGAACAATGAGCAACAATATGATGTATCATATGATGACCGCACCCGTTCGTGGACCCACCCGCTGATCCTAACCCCCCCTCCCCTAACCCCTCCCCCCCCCCTCCCCCGCGAAAACCGGGGGGGGGTCACTACCGGTTCGAACCCCTCCCCCCCCCCCCCTCCGGATCCGGAAAACCGGGGGGGGTCACTACCGGTTGGAACCCCCCCCCCCCTCGAAAACCGGAGGGGGGTCACTACCGGTTCGACCCCCCCCCCACGCACCGCCAGCAAACGACTCCCGGTCCCTACCACCGCTCGCATCACATCCCCCACTATTGTTCCCAGCACCACTGTCCTCACCACCACTGTCCCCACTGGTTCCACCACCGTCCCTATTGTCCCCACCAGTGCCCCCACCACTGTCGCACTGTCCCCACTGTTCCCACCACTGTTCCCACCACGGTTCCACTCTCCCCACTGTCTCCACGGACCCAACCACTGCCTATCCCCACTGTCCCCACTGTCCCACTGACTCCTCCGCTGTCCCACTGAAAATCCAACTGTTCCCACCACTGTCCCCACTGTCCCCACCACTGTCCCCACTGTACCTCTGTCCCATTGTCCCACCGCCGTCCTCGCCACCGCCTTTACCACTGTCCCCACCACCATTGTACCCTCCACTGTCCCACTGTTTCCACCTCATTCCCACTGTCCCCACACCACTGTCCCCACCACCACCGTCCCCACCACTGTCCACTGTCCCCCCTGTGCCCACCATTGTCCCCACCACTGTCCCCACCACTACCGTCCCCACCACTGTCCCACTGTCCCACTGTCCCCACCACTGTCCCGCTGTCCCCTCACCACTGTCCCCACCAACACCGTCCCCACCACTGTCCGCACCCCCACTCGGTTTTCGAGGGGGGGGGGGGTTCGAACCGGTAGTGACCCCCCCCCTTTTCATGATGAACCCCCCCCGGTTTTCCGGTGGGGGGGGGGGGAGGGGTTCGAACCGGTAGTGACCCCCCCCCCCGGTTTTCCGCCAGCAGCGGTAGAACACGCTCTTTCCAATATATCGATCTCCCTATCTACATATGTTAATACATAGACCCTATCGCTACCTATCGGTCTCGCAGCATGTCTATAAATCCCACCATCGACATATAATATGCAACTCGGTGTCAAGATCAACTGGCCTCAGTTTTGAATATATCGTCTGACCAACCCTCAATTATCGCGATCTCAGTGAGCACGCGTCTCGTGGACGAAATGCCTTGGACAAAAAATTGGACACGTGCGAAAATGGCCCCCGCGCCCATCAAAACATTTAGCGTGCCCTGAGAATCGGAGGAGGGGCCCCCCGAGACGTCGGCCTCCCTAATCGTGGGGAGAGGCCCCCCCTCCCTATGCAGGGGGGGAGGGTCGAACCTGGGGGGGGCCCTCCCTGTGCAAGGGGGTGGGGCTTTCGAACTGCCCCCCCCCCCCCCACCTTGACGCTGATGACGACGACGACGACGACGACGACGACGCAGTCAGTGACGACGACGACGACGACGACGACGACGACGACGACGACAGACAACTGACGGCTAAACACGCAACATCAGCATTACAAATCGCACAAAAGTCAGCCAGTGCAGACTCCGAATAGATCAGACGGCTGACATGAAGTGGACTAGAGTGGACGGAAGCAGACTGGACAGGAGCAGACTGGACTGGACTGGGGTGGACTCTGCTCTACTCTACAAAACCCGACTCTACTCCACCAGCTACCCTACTCTCATACAGTATTATCTGATATACTGTACCATACTATGGCTTGCAATACCCTCATATACTCTAGTATGCTCTACTCTACTCCTACACCAACTCTGCTCTAAGTCTGTTCTGCTCTAGCATAATTCCCCTCTACTCTACTCTACTCTCACAAATTCTGATAGGTTGCATTCGGATATACTCTGTCTCACCCTCTGAGATCAAACTCTGCTCCACCATCTGCCTCTCTCGACTCTACTCTGTTTTACTCTACCCTTGTCTACTCGACCGCTCTACCTTACTCTGTACTCCTACGTCTACTCTACTCTACTTCTAAGTTACCCTATTACATCCCTACTTTACGCTATTCCACTCTACTCAAAAATAATATGCCCTCGTCTTCTCTACTCTACTCTAAGTTACTCTATCATTTCCGACGTTAGTATACCCTCTAACTCAGTATACTCTACTATGTTCACCTCTAGCCTACTCTACTCTACCCTACCTTACCCTGCCCTAACCTAACTCTACTCTACACTTCTCTACTCTACTCTACTCCTAGTCCTACTCTACTCTACTCTACTCTACTGTGCTCTATCATACTCGGTTTGACTCTACCATCTACTCTACTCTGCCCTACTCTACTCTGATCTAGTCTACCCTACTCTACTCTGCCCTACCCTACCCGACCCATTTTTTCGAGGCGGCCATAGCAGCTGAAGACCATCGGCTCGTATGTCGGCGCCATTGCTGTCGTCGTCGTCGTCCGCGTCGACGCGTCGTCGTCGACGTTGGCGTCGTCGTCGACGTCACTGCCGCCGTCGTCGTCGTCGTCACCGTCGTCGTTGTCTTCCTTGTCGTCAGCGTCGTCGTCGGCGGCGTCAGGGTCAACGACGTCACCGTCGTCACCAGCGTCGTCGACGTCGTCGTCGTCGGCGTCGTCACCTTCGTCATCGTCGCTTGCTATTGGCGAAGGGTGGGGGGAGCCAGTTTGACCCCTCCCCTTGCAATAAGGGGAGAGGGGAGAGGGCGGGCCCCCCTCCCGCCCCCGGTTCGAACCCCCCCGCCCCTCGCACCCCTTGAGAGAGGGGGAGGGGGCCTCAACCCCCCGGTTCGAAGCTCCCCCTTCCTGCAACTCAGGATGGAGGAAGGGGAGGGGCCCAGTTCGAACCACGGGGGGGGGAGCCCCGGCTCGAACCCCCCCCCTTTCCAAGCGTCTACAGAACGCGCTCTTTCCGATCTCACCCCATCGATCGGGATCACCAACGGGAAAGCCATCGGGACTGCCACCGGGACAACCATCGGGACCACCATGGGGACAACCATGAGGACAACCATCGGGACAACCATCGGGACAACCATTGGGACAACCATCGGGAAAGCCATCGCAACCACCATCGCGACAACCATCGGGACAACCATCGGGACCATCGGGACGACCGTCGTCACAAACATCGGGACAACCATCGGAGCATCAATCGGGACGACAACTGGACAACATTCAGGACAACCATCGGGACAGCCATCGGGACAACCACTGGGACAACAATCGGGGCAACAATCGCGACAACCATCGGGACAGCCTTATTTCTTACTCGCGGCCATAACGGGCGTTCTGGGGGGGGAGGGTGGGGAGCGGACGGGACGGGGCATAACGTAGCGCCCCTCCCAGACTGTGATGCTGGACGCATTGCGACAGTGCCAGGGAAGCACTGAGGTGGGGAGCGTTACGTTATGGGGGGGAGGGGGGGGAGGGTATGGGGCATGACGCGCATTATGGCCCAGAGGGCAAAAATTTACTCTCCATCGGGACCACAGGCAGAATTAATGGGAGCCACCAGAGACAACGGATCTGACACGGGGCGGCCCCTTTTGCCCTGACCTAGCCCTAACTAGGGCAGGAACTCGCGCAGCTTCGCCTGGCCAGAACACATGACACGAACGAAACGAAACGATTTCCCGGTTGGAGCACGTCACGTTTCACTTAAGTCTCCCCCCTCCCAATCTCCGAGATTCGCCTGCCCCCTCATTTATAGCGGCCGAGACGCAGACGACTCGCACGACAGACGAATAGCAAGTGTCTCGTAAACATACACACATGTGTACAATCAGCCTCGCCTGTCACTCCCACCATGTTCTCACACGCACACTCCGTCTCTCTTTCTCTCTCTCATCCTGTCCCAACTCCTTCTCCCCGCCGTTCCTGAGGCTGGGAAGGCGGCAGCAAGCCAGAATCTGCTCTCGACTTATCCTGGCCGAGGCAATATGGAGCAGCAAACGAGGTCACAGTACACACATGAAGGCGCCACAAAACGTGGCCTGCATCTGCGCGCAGGAGAACAAAGCCCAGGCGGAGGAACGGCCACGGGACAGGTTGGACCCCTGCCTCTCCGACATGAATACTGTACCTGCGCTCCACCTATCAGAAACATGTCTCGGGATTGCGACTGAATATGCGTAATTCATGACGCCCTCAAACATCATGTGCACGAGCCTGTCAGCATCGGCACTGTAATCGCCGATAGCCAGAGATTTCCCATCCTGTCGTTTTCGCAAGCAGCGCTCATGGCCAGTCCACGATCATCCGAAATGATCCGGATACCGTGGACCTGGCGAAGTAACTGATAACCTCGTCCTCCTGCTCTGCTCCACATCCGAGCACAATCCTCCTCTCCCGCTGGGCTGAATATGATCAGGGTCTGGAGGACCGAAAACACCTATTGCCAACGAGCGATCCATACATGATCATGTCGCGTGCACCAACACAGGCATCACACCCACCGCTTCGTTATGCCGCGGCGGGTGCTGCGTCTTGGCACTGCTGGTTGAGCTGCGTGAGCTAGGGACCCGAGCGTAACGATGCCAACAAGCGCCCGCCTTGGTGCTTGAAATCCCTGGGCGCAAGACTACCTGAGAAGCAGAATTTCACGTGGAAACGTCCATGCCCCCAAAGCCCACGCTAACCACAGACACACACACACACACACACACACACACACACACACACACACACGCTTGGCGTGCATATAAGTCAAAGAAGACTCGAAGGAGGTCGAGGTACCCCCTCCCCAGAAGAAGAGTCCCCCCTCTAGGGTTGTTTTTTTGGGGGGGCGGCCCAGGCGGCGTAGTCCCTCCATATTCAAACACAGCAACGGCAACACTCATAGTAATGTTTAAGACTGTTCGCTCTTATCTGCCCGCGTGCCATTCAACACGTATATGCAAACCCTCGATACCCACCCCATTCGTCTTCGATCGCACCCTCTTAGGGGTACACCTTTCTTGCCTGCAACGTGCATTTCGTGCAGCACCGAAGGCAGGGAAGGGAGGACAAATGGAAGGAAGGGACAAGGGGCAGGCGGGCTGCTGAAGCGTGCGTCCTGCATGAATCGCGAGGGAGTCTCGAGCGATAGCGAAATACATGGTGAGAAAATCCACAGCCAGAGCATGATTCCTGAGTGTTGAGGGCGCGGCGTATGAATAAATTGCGGGTAAGTCCCATGCGATAGCGCGATTCCCGTATGAATTGTGAGGAAATGTCCCGCGCGAGAGCGCGATTTGGGAATACATTGTGAGGAGAGATCAGGCGGGAGCCGTTGTTGTTGTAGACCCGGGGCCAGGGGCCCAGTTTGGTGACACCTCCATTCAACACGTATATCCCACTAGAACCATCGCGCGCGCTTCGCGCGCTCAAGTTCTAGCTAGGCTTGATCGGCCAACTCATGCAATATCATGTTGGTCGCTTCTTGCGTCCAGGGAATCTCTTGGAAGCCCTGCGCAAGCCTCAGAATCGTATAGGAGGGGAAGTGCGGAAACGCAATTAATTTCCTTTCTAGGTATTCAACGATGTTCGGAGTCTCACTATGAAAAAAGAGGGAATTCTGGGAATTCCTTTTTTTCAAAAAAAATCCTCGATCTTCGAGGGTTGGAAGCGGGAAAACGTCAGAAGGCGAAAAACATTAGAAAAACATTGGATGTGACCCTCTTTCGGCTCTCTCGGGACGGCTCGCGCAGCTCTCTTGGACTGTTCTTGGAGCCTCGTCGGAGTCTTGTTGGAACCTCTCAGGGATCGGGGGTGTGTTGGGGGCCTCTGGGGGGTCCCAGAGGCCTCTCGGAGGTCTCTGCATTGGAAGCTCGAAAACGCGAGAAGCCAAAAACATTGGGAAAAAAACATGTGTAAATCGACGATTTGGGCCTTTTCGGGCCGTCCGGGGACGCCTCTCGGACTTCTCTTGGGGTCTCTTGGAGGCCACCTGGGAGCCTCGAGAGCCGTCGGAAGGCTGACTTGGGCTGCTTAGGAGCGTCTTGGACCGTCCTTTCGCATTCTGGGCGCTCCTGGGAGACGTCTTGGGCCCTCCTGGAGCGCTGTGGAGGCTCCCCGGAAAGGCCTCTTGGGCTCCTGGGGGGCGTTCTTGGACGGTTTAGGCGTCTCGTGAGCAATTTTGGCACCCTCGTGGGCCGTCTTGGAGCCCTCTTGGGGGCATCCTCGACCGTCTTGGGTGCCTCTTGGGCCGTCTTGGACGCAGTGGAAGCCCAAAAAGCGAACGCGCCGAAAACATATGTTTCCTAGAGGAAATCGACGTTGTTTGCTAATTTGGGCATCTATGGGGTGCCTCTTGGGGCGTCTTCGGGGCCTCTTTTGGTGTTTTTGGGAGTCTCAGCGGGGCCTTGTGGGGCTTCTTGGGCGCTTTTTGGAGCCTCTTGGGGTCTCCTCGGGGTCTCTTGGGCCAACAGGCGCGAATTTCCCGTTCCTCGTCCCCGTCTAGGGCACCGCCTTGGGGCGTTCTTGGGCGGTTTGGGCGCCTCGTGGGCCGTCTTGGCCCCCTCGTGGGCCGTCTTGGGGCCCTCTTGCGGGCATCCTCGACCGGCTTAGGTGCCTCTTGGGCCGTCTTGGACGCAGTGGAAGCGCAAAACGCGAACACGCCAAAAACATGTTTTCCCACATGAAATCGACGATTGTTGCTTATTGGGGCTCTCTCGGGGTGCTCCTTGGGGCGTCTTCGGGGCCTTCGGGGGCCTTCTTGGCGTCATGGGAGTCGTCTTGACAGGCATCCGGAGCCACCGGAGCGCGTTCTCGAGCGTTCCGAAGCCATCTTCGGGCGATCTTGGACGGCCCCCGGCGCTCCGGAAGGGCTCCCGGCGCGCCGGGCCCCACATTTGCGGTCGGGGCCCCGGCCCCTGGCCCCTGGAACCGGTCCCCCGTTATATGTATAAGCCCTCGATACCCACACCATTCGTCTCCGATCGCACCCCTTTGGGGGTATATCTTTCCTACCTGCAGCGTGTATTTCGTGCAGCCCCATGGAAGGAAGGGACAAGGTGGAGAGAGGAGGATGGAGCGCGAGAGAGTAGCAGAAGGGGGGCTAGGAGCAGATAACACGTGGCAGCTTCTGTGGGCGCGGTTGGGGCATCTGCAGGCTGCGTCCGAGGGCCTCAGTGGGCAGCGTGCTGGAGCCTGTGGGTGCGGTTGGGGCCTGTGTGAGCTGTGTCCGGGGGCCTCAGTGGACAGCGTGATGAAGCCCCTATGGGCGCGCTTGGAACTTCTGTCGGCTATGTCCGAAGGCCTCAGAAAGCAGCGTGTTGGGGCCTTTGTGGTTCGGGTTTCTTTCTGGCCAGGGCGTCTAAGAGAAAATTGCGAGGGCGTGTCGAGCGGGAGCACCTGTTGTCGCAGGTGGGCCTCCAGCGCCGTTGCTGAACTGCAGTCTCTGGCCAGGGGGTCTCGAAATACAGTTTGAGGAAGTATCGAATGGAAGCCCTTGTCGTCGTAACTTGGCCTCCACCAACTTGCCCGAAGTACGAGAAGGTCCCGAACTCGAACGCCGTTCCTGAGTTCGAGGGCCTCTCTGGTCAGGGTTCTCGGACTACATCTTGAAGAGCATCGAGCGGGAACCCTTGTCGCCGAGTCTGGGCCTCCACCAACTTGCCTGAATTACGACAAAATCTCGAGCGAGAGCGCCGCTCGTGAGTTCGAGGGCCTCCCTGGCAAGGGGCTCTCGACGTCAAATCGTAGGATCGAATCGAGCGGGGGCCTTTGTCGTCGTGGCTGGGCCTCTGCCAGCTTGCGTTGACTGAATCGCGAGGAAATCTCGAGCGAGAGCGCCGTTCCTGAGTTCGAGGGCCTCTTTGGCCAGGGTGTCTCGTGGTATACTTTAAGGAAATATCAAACGGGAACACTTGTCGTCGTGGCTGGAAATCCGTCTACTTGACTGGATCGCGAGGAAGTATGAAGCGCAAGCGCCGTTCCTGAGATCGGGGCCCTCTCTGGACACGGTGTCACGGGGTAAGATGTGAAAATATATCGAGCGGATGCCGTTGTTGTTGTAGCCGGGCCTGCAAAGACATACATTTACAATCCAGCCAGCGATCGAGCGGGAGCCTCTTTTCAGAGAAAATGTCGCCAACGTCGAAGCGAGAGCGCGCGCAGCCGTTTTCGGAGATCCACAAAAATTACTCTCTACACATGAATATTCAGCAACAGCAGAAACAACAACAATGAACAATCATTTTGAGACGGCTCGTTATGATTTTCTCGCGTGCCATTCAACACGTATACCCCAACACTCGATACCCACCCACTTCGCTTTCGATCGTATCCCCTTGTGGATATATCTTTTCCTACCTGCAGCGTATATTTCGTGCAGCCCCGGAGAGGGCGGATGGAAGGACTGGACACAACGGGGGAGAGAGGAGGATGGAGCACGAGAGAGTAGCAAAAGGACGGTTAGGAGCAGATAGCGCGTGGCAGAACCAGACGGGCAGATCGGGCAGGCAGACCCGAACAGGCGGGCCCAGGCAACCAGGTCGAGCAGGCGGGTTGCTGAAGCGTGCGTCCTGCATGAATCGCGAGGAAGCCTTGAGCGACAGCGCGATTCCTAAATAAATCTCGTGAGGAAATCCAGAGCGAGAGCTTGATTCCTGAGTGTCGAGGGCGCGGCGCCCGAATCAATTGCGAGGAAATCCCCAGCGACAGCGCGATTCCTGAGTGTCGAAAGCGCGACGCCGGAATCAATTGCAAGGGAGTATCTGGCGAGAGCGCGATTCTTCAAAAAATCCCAGGAAGTCCCTAGCGAGAGCGCGATTTTTCAAACAAAAAAAGAATAAATATCAAGCAGGAAACGCCCGCGCCACAGGCCCGTCACGTCTGGGCCTGGGGACGGGCCCCCCCACCTGAGGGGCTGGTGCCCGCAACCCATCGCTCCGGCGAGCGCTATCCCCGCGGCTTCCTGAAAGCCCCAGTAGCAGGCGCTGAGG